AGGTGGGCATGGCTGCAGCCAGTAGGACAAATCAGCATGGCTATTCACTGTGCATGAGAGATGGCTGTGGGTGTGCTGGCCACCATCGCCTCTAGTGAGGCAGTGTGGGAATGCTCACAATCACCTAGGTGCTTCCCCCACCTGCTTGGTGGAGTGGCAGGCAAGGGCCGGGTCAGGTCATTGACCAGGAGAAGTACGCAGGCACTCTCTCCTGTGGGGGAGGAAGACGGCAGCTGGCCAGGGTGTGCGCAGGCACTCATTCCAGCAGGGGAGTAGCTGGGCCTGCGGCAGGAGAGCATGCAGGCACTGTCTCTGGCAGGGAAGGGGTGGTGCAGGCAGCGGGGAGAGCGCACATGCACTCTCTCCATTGGAGGAGGGGCAGGGTGGCCGGCCCAGTGTATGCAAGCCCTCTCTCCGGTGGGGGAGCGGCAGGGCAGCTGGCTGGGATGTGTGCAGGTGCTCACTCCACTGGTGAAGTGGTGGGACTGGCAGCCAGAGAGTGCACAGGCACTCTCTCTGACAGGGTAGTGGTGGAGTGTGGTGGGGCATGTGGCCAGAAAGTGTGCAGGCACTCTCTCCAACATGGGAGGGTCAGGGTGAATGGCCAGGGGTGTGCAGGTGCTCTCTCCTGAGAGGGAGGGGTGGAGCAGACAGCCTCAGGGCACTCTCCCACTCCGCCCTTCTCCCAGTGCGGGAGGGGAGTGGACAAGACTGGGTGAAGGGAGGGGGAGAAGGACAAAGAATAAGAAAGAAGAAAAGAAATGGAGGGGATTGTACTAAGATCCCTGGTGTTCAAGGCAGTAGGGATGAGGGAGGGTTTGTGCCGCTAATCACCAAGAGGATGGGGAGAGGGGGAGTACACTCCTTTGGTGGGGGAGGGGTGCCTGTGCACTTCCTGCTGGGCACAGCCAATAATTGACATCTTGCTTCACTCCAGCTGCATCTACAGTTTCTCTATCTCCTCTTGGGCGCCCCTGCGATGTTGCCATCCTGTGCTTCTCAGCCAGATCGCTACTGGCTGTGTCTCAAGATGTCCATAGTGTTTCGGACTGGCTAGGAGGGCACCTCCTTGTTTCTCCCCTTGCTCACTGTTCTCATTCAGTTTCTTCCAGTCAGTGTTGATCTGATTCTGTATCCTTTCAGCTGATGCTCATGATTCCAGGACTGTCATCCGTATTTGTTTTGTTGCTGGATGGAAACCCCAGGTTCTGCTTGGAGTGACTTATCTCAGCCAATAAACAAGAGACCGAGGTGGGAGAGCAGAAATGTGCCTTTATTTCATTGCACAAGGAAAGGAACAGTTGGGGCTACTGCTGCCAAGACTGCTCAGTGAGGGTGACAGGGAAGGTTATTTTTATGGGGTTTACAAGCAGGAAGTTCATAGAAGTTACATCAGCAATGTTCTTAATCATACAACACAGGTGCAATGGGGTTTACATATGATTTCATCCATCACATGTTCATAAAATGGCAGTTAAACTCCACCCAGAGGCAGGGAAGTCACTATGTATGAGGTATTTAATGAGCTAAAAGGTTATCCTGAATGTCAGCATGGCACCTAAACCAGTTTCTGCCAATTTCCTCTAGCTTTGGGCAGCAGTTGAGAGGAACCAGGATTTTAATGTAAAACTACAGGGCATGTGTCTTAGTTATCTAGTGCTGCTATAACAGAAATAGCACAAGTGGATGGCTTTAACAAAGAGAAGTTTATTCTTTCACAGTCTGGTAGGCTACAAGTCCAAATTCAGGGTACTAGCTCCAGGGGAAAGCTTTCTTTCTCTGTCGGCTCTGGAGGAAGGTCCTTGTCATCAATCTTCCCCTGGACTAGGAGCTTCTCCACGCAGGAACCCCGGTTCCAAAGGATGCGCTCTGCGCCTAGTGCTGCTTTCTTGGTGGTATGAGTTCCCCAACTCTCTGCTGGCTACCCTTTCATCTCTTCCAAGATAAAAGGTGGTGCAGGCCACACCCCAGGAAACTTCCTTTACATTGGATCAGGGATGTGACCTCAGTAAGGGTGTTACAATCCTGCCCTAATCCTCTTTAACATAATCTAATCTTGCCTCATTAACCACAGGCAGAGATTAGGATTTACAACACATAGGAAAATTACAATAACAAAATGGAAGACAATCACACAATACTGAGAATCATGGCCTAACCGAGTTGACACCTATTTTTGGGGGAAAAAATTCAATCCATGACACACGGCAAGCAAAGGAACCAGGATTTTAATGTAAAGCTATGGGGCGTGCCAAGCAAGCTACTTGAGTCAGTGGAATTTTCCACATCCTGGGAACTCTTAGTTTCACTTTGTTTCTTGGGTCTTTGCTGGAGATAGATGGCGTGGTGTGTCTAACTAGGCTGCCATCTTGGCACCACTCCAAAACAGAGGCTTTTAAAAGTCCAATCTGAGATTCCTTATGAAGATTTCCAGACATAAATTGAGTTTGTGGCCTTAGCAGCTGTTCAGTATGGTATGTGTTTAAGACTAGCAGAGCAAACTTAATGATGCCTATATGGTAAGTTAAAATTCTCTCTGCATCTATGTAAATATTCAGGACAATCAGAATATGCTTCTTCCTTTGAGATTATTATAATCATAACAGAAGGAGGTGGAGAGACTGTCAGGAAAAAGTGTGAAAGACTTTGAAATGGGCAGTATCTTGTCTAGTGCACCCCTCCGAGGCTTTCTCCCTTTCATTCATTGTCTTTGAGCTATTTACAACTCTGGAGGTTGTAGAAAACTGATAATTAAAACTATTTTTGTCTATAGAAATGCAAATTAGTTGTCTCCAGTGGAATGCAATTGATTATTGACCCATTTGGCATCTATTTGTAAATTCATTCCATCTTTCCTCAGTCTGTATATTTGCAGGACTTTTAATTCTTCTTTGAACCAATTGTCACATTTTCCTGATTCTTTGTTAATTAATGAGTTAAATAAAATCTTTGACGTGTTAAAATAATGCAAGATACAGAATAATGCTATGGTATGCAACCATTTCTGTAAAACAAAAGGGAGAATGTGTTCATATTTATGTATATATATGTCTTAGTCATCTAGTGCTGCTCCAACAGAAATACCACAAGTGGATGGCTATACAAAGAGAAATTTATTCTCTCACAGTCCAGTAGGCTACAAGTCCAAATTCAGGGCATCAGCTCCAGGGGAATGCTTTCTCCATCGGCTTTGGAGGAAAGTCCATGTCATCAGTCTTCCTTTGGTCTGGGAGCTTCTCTGCGCAGGAATCTCAGGTCCAAAGGACGCGCTCTGCTCCCAGCACTGGTTTCTTGGTGGTATGAGGTTCCCAGGTGTCTCTGCTCGCTTCTCTCTTTTATATCTCAAAAGAGATTGCATTAAGACACTGATCTTGTCAACCCCATCAGTATAACCTCATCACAGTGATAGAATTTACAACACATAAGGAGATAACGTATAATCTGATCATAGTGGTAGAGTTTACAACACATAGAGAAATCACATCAAATAACATAATCATACAATACTGGGAATCATGACCTAGCCAAGTTGCTACACACATTTTTGGGGGGACACAATTCAATCCATGACAATATACATATATAAAAAGCTTCTGGAGGAATTTATATTTGATTAAATATACCTAAAAACAATAAACTAATAATAGTTATCTATGTGGGTCCGGGAGAACTAAAGATGTGGAGCAGGGGTAAGATGAAAACTTTTCACTTCATGCCCTTTTTACTTTATTTTTAAATTCTATAAATATATTTATTTTTTAACATGTAGGAATGAACTTAAGCGTATAAATCAATTAAATCAATTCTCTCTTCTCATGTGGTAAGTATTTGGCTTGGTTTAAGTTCTACATTTTACTAGAAAGAAGTGCACCTGGAATGGGACAGATGGCGCTGAGGCAGAGAAACTTGACCCCTAATGAAAAATTAACAGTATGCTGTTAGAAAGCAAACCATGGCAACCCCACCTGTGTGAGAGTAGAACTGTACTCCATAGGGTTTTCAATGGCTGATTTTTTTGGACGATCTCCAGTCCTTTCTTTTGAGGTACCTCTGTTTTGTATAGCAGCCAAGCCTGTTAACTGTATGCTGTTAGTGATAACAAAATTAAATGGAAACAACATAATGGTGGGATGAATAATTAAGAATGATTAATATAGGACTTTATTAGGATATTTTTTTACTTCTGTACCCCAACATTTAAGTGAAATATGCAAGGTTTAAAGGAAAGCAGTAAAAATTATTGGAGGGTTGAGAAACCAGCCCTTTGAGGAAATGCTAGAGGAAGAGGGTTGAAAAAAGGGCAAGAAACCATTTGTCTGCAAATATATTCTGGTATCCCACAAGAATGCTTAGATAGAACTATCCTATATTTTCATAGAGATGGTGTTGAGAATTGGACTTAAACTAGGGTTTGAGGAATTTAGAGAGTGGTGCAAAAAGCTCCCTGGGTGGCACAAACGGTTTGTGCTTGGCTACTAACCAAAGGTTGGTGGTTTGAACTCACCCAGCAGCACTGTGGAAGAAAGGCCTGGTGATCTGCTTCTGTAAAGATTACAATGAAGAAAATCCTGTGGAGTTCAGTTCTACTCTGACACACATGGGATCACCATGAGTCGGAGTTGACAACTACTGTTTTTTTGTTTTTAAATTAAAAAACAATATGATTAGAAGCCTGGAGAAAACAACACATTCACAAGAAGGGCTGCAAATCACCTTGCCTAATTTTTTTTTCCCCCAGAAAGGTGAATTCATGAGATTCTAAGTCCTAGAAGCTGGATTATATGTCTCCCCTCACCCCACTCCCCAGCCTTACAAATTTTCATTTAGCTTGAAGCCTTGTCTTTTCAAAATCAAAATCCATGTGAGACCCAAATAATCGAATACTGACACATTGTTAACTGGGATAATTCTCTTTTTAATTCATAACGTTAATTGGTGAGACATTTTGTTCTTTGTTCTAACTGGCCTATCTCTTTTATTTCATTCAGGTGTTGGGAAAGGTAATGGGAATGATCTGAAAGTGCAAGTAATAATGCAGAAAGAGATCGTGTTTTTCTGCTCTTTTTCTAAAAACTGCAGGGTAAGAGAAAGCGCGCAAACTGAAAATTCTGGTGTTTGTTTAAAGCCCAATATCAAATTGGCATGTTGACCTTCCCAAATCCTCACTCATCACAAAGAGACCCTATCTTAGTCATCTAGCGCTGCTATAACAGAAATACCACAAGTGGATGGCTTCAACAAAGAGAAATTTATTCTCTCACAGTCTAGTAGGCTACGAGTCCAAATTCAGGGTGTCAGCTCCAGGGGAAGGCTTTCTCTGTCGGCTCTGGAGGAAGGTCCTTGTCATCAATCTTCCTTTGGTCTGGGAACTTCTCTGTGCAGGAACCTCAGGTCCAAAGGACATGCTCTGCTCCCGGCACTGCTTTCTTGGTGGTATGAAGTCCCCATGTCTCTCTGCTCGCTTCTCACTTTTCTCTCTCAAAAGAGATTGGCTTAAGACACTATCTAATCTTGTAGACCTCATCAACATAACTGCTGCTAATCCATCTTACTACATCATAGTGACAGCATTTACAACACACAAGGAAATCACATCGGATGATAAAAATGGTAGACAATCATACAATACTAGGAATCATGACCTAGCCAAGTTGACAGTTATTTTGGGGGGACACAAGTCAATCCATGATAGACCCCATGTTGCTCTCTGGTCACCTTCTAACTTGGTGTCGCTGGGCTCTGACACCAGCCAGAACTAAGTTAACCTCATTGTGCAAAATAGGCGTTTCAGGCATTTTCCAGAACATATTTTCAATTCAGAGTGTTGCTTTGCCTTTCACCTTCCCACAAATACTGAGCATGTTCCTAGGAATCTATCAGGGTTTTAAATTCATGTATCTGATCATTTTTAGCCATATTCTCTTCTTGGTCATTTTCTCTTTTATTATATAGCACTGATTCTCAAATTTTAGTGTGCTTGAAAATCACCTAGGAGACTGAAAAAATGCTAAGTTCTAGGCTATACCCCAAAAGTATGATTCGGAAAATCTAGAATGGGGTCCAGGAATCTGCAGATCGAACACTGTCCCAAATGACTCTAATTCAGATGTTCTGTGGGACCATGTATGGGAAACAATGCAAACAATACGGATTGAATAGAAAGCTCCTTACCCAAAGCAATGAGACCTGGTGGTCAATATTTTGCTAAAATGTTGAAGAAATGCCTACGACTGCAGACCATTCTGAAGCAATAAAAAAGCTTCCTTCATGGGCCTGAGAAATGTGAACTTTTAAAATTCCCTCTCAGGCTTTTGTTCCGAGTCCTCCTGTTCACCTCTCAACAGTATTCCTCCACTCTTTGTGGCCTCCCTGACTTGAGTGCTTTCACCCAGGCCTGACCCTTGCCTTTCTGCTCTTCTCTCCACAAATGAGTTTTCCTTGGTTATGCTCATCTGTTTTCCCACTTTCAACTATTGTTTGTTCTTTCATTCATGCCACAGATAAACTTAAGAGCACCCACTGTGTGCCAGGCAATGTGATAGATGCAGGAGCTACAATTCAGCACATCCAGATTTACCAAACAAGCTTTTTCTCTGCTTCTGCAAATGGCACCAGCAGTCTCCCACACAGGCCTTAAAATGTGGTATTATCTTTGATCCTCTCTTCACCGTAGTTCCCTAAATCCAGTTAGTCACCAATTCCTATTGGTTATGTCTTTGAAATCTCTCTTCACTCTTTTCCTTCTTTTCTGTTCCCCCTGCCACTACCTAATCAAGGATCTCATCTGCTCATGCTTAGAAACCTACAATGGTGTCCTTACCTTCTGTTTCTCCTTCTACAATACAATATATATAGTCCTGCCACATGCATCCTGAAATGCTGCTCTCATTGTGAAGGAGCTTCAGGATAGAGCTGAAAACACAACTATGTGGCCATGGCGAAGCCAGCCAACATCTTGGTTCAATATTCCTATCTGTAAAGTAAAGATGACATCTCAAGTATTGTGAGGATCAAATCATATATATATGTGAAGCTGCTTTGTGAATTATAAAGCACTAAACAAATGGTATATGTGATAATTATCAGACGACCTTGCCACACAGGAAATGCCCCATCATATTCTTGTGCAACTTCATGCTTATTTCCTTGGCTCTTGAGTTCTCAGGATATGATTTTATCACGGCTGAGCTTATTTCCATCAGTAACTTGACCTGCAGACTCCATTCCAAGTAGGCTGGGTTCCCCCGGCCCTTGGAAGACAACACTCTAATTTCTGCTTCATGTTTTTGCTGATGTTTTCCCCTTGTGCCTGGATTGGACTCTCTTTTCTGTGCTCCACTTCATTTATCCAAATCCCTCCAAGCCCCACTCAATCCCTACCTCCTGTGTGAAGCTTTCGCATTGTACACCTCCTGCTAGCCTCCCCCAAAGTGCACAACAGCACTCAGTCTTCACCTGGCACTCACTTGTGTGACATTCCCATTGTTCCGTGTGTATACAGCTCCCTGAAGGCGCGTCTGTATTTTTTACAGTGCTTAGCGTAGACCTTCCTCATTGTGGGTGCCATTATTATACAAGGGTGAATCAGTAACAAATATACTCTTAGTGTAGCTTCAAAGTTTTCAGTCCAGAAACTTGACCTATCTTTGGTCACTCCATCCAGCAGCCTGCAATGGGCAAGGCCTATGATTCCGTCAACAAGCATGAAGTTTTTGATAAAATGTGATCAATTATGCATTGCTTTTTGAATGTCAATGCCAGCTTTGAAATGGATCTTCTTAGTATATTCTCAAAAGAGGCCCCAATATATGAAAATCAAGTCACACACATTTAATGCTTACTTGTTAAACACTAATAGAAAATTAATACTTTGCTTTCCATAGTGCCCCACCATAACCTCCAAACACTTAAATGACAGTGTTGTAACTTCACAGAAACAATGGTTAACCTTTCCATATAACATGTAGTAATGACGTTATAAGGAGCACTGGTGGCACAACAGCTAAGTGCTCAGCTGCTAACCAAAAGGTTGGTGGTTCAAACCTACCAGTAGCCCCTTGGGAAAGAGACCTAGCAATCTGCTCCCATAAAGATGACAGCCTAGAAAACCCTATGGGGCAGTTCTCTGTCACATGGAGTTGCTATGAGTTGAAAATTGACTCAAAGGCACCTAACAACAACTAGGAGGCTATGAGATGAAGAGTACTTGGTAAATACAGGAAGCCGAGATACGTGAACATTTACTTCGCTGTTGTGCTCATCATCTCGTCATCAGCTAGGCGTAACAGTTCTGAGTTCCACGTGTTCTTTCACAGATATATCATGATGCTGAAACAGACAAAGTAATAATTAATCTAATCAACTGTCCAAGTCTATATGATGATGTGAAAGTGAAATTTTTTTCTTCCTCAGTAAGTAATTCTTCTTGTTCTTGTCTAGTCTTTTGAATGATTTTGGTCTGGAATTTCCTTTACTACAATTTCCAACAAGGGAGATAATAGGATAGTCAACCCCTAGCCAGGGAGGGAGAGAACAACAAACACATGGGATTTTATTTTTTGCTCATTTGTTTTTTTCTAAGTTCTATATAATTTACAGGAGCCCTGGTGGCACAGTGGTTAAGCGCTCAGCTGCTAACCGAACCGCTCGGCAGTTGGAACCCACCAGCTGCTCTGTGGGAGAAAGATGTGGTGGTCTGCTTCCGTAAAGATTTACAGCCTTGGAAACCCTATGGGGAAGTTCTACTTTGTCCTATAGGGTTGCTATGAGTCAGAATTGACTCGATGGCAATGGGTTTGGTTTTATATGATTTACATGTATTAATTATGGAATAAGGAGCCCTGATGGTGCAGTGGTTAATTGGTTAATTCGGCTACTAACTCAAAGGTCAGCACTCAAATCCATCAGCTGCTCTGTGGGAGAAAGATGTGGCAGTCTTCTTCCGTAAAGATTATAGCCTAGGAACCAGTTCTACTCCGTCCTATAGGTTTGCTATGAGTTGTTTTTGTTTTTTTAATTATGGAATAAAACATTTTAAAAAATAAGATGCTTAAAAAAAATTTTTTTTTACTACATAGCAGTTTTGTATCTTTAAAACACATTGTTCCCAATGAAAGGAGGGAGATTTTACTTTCCTCTGATTAGAGATTACAAATTGTGCTTATTAATTCAATATTTAGTTTATGAAAAATGAGAATGTTTCCCATTGTCTTTGGAAGATACACTCTGGTAGATATACTCTGAATACCTACTCATAATTTTTATTTATACTGACCAGTCATATTAAATGTATGTCTGCATATTATTCTGTATGTAACAAATTTCTAAGCCTCAGTAGTTTCATTTTCCTATCAAACCATCGACCACAACTGCCAGCGAGCAACTGGGTAGGTCAATTCTATCTCCTGTGCCCTCCTTCGTTCCCTGCTTGGTCCCTGTTGTGGAAAACTCTCAAGTACTGAAATGGTAACTCTGTTCAACCAAGTGGCCTGGACAGTTCCCATACTGGATGGTTGCCCCTTGAATAATGGAACCCGTCTGAATTCTCTCTCAAACTCCAAGCAGAAGCAGGAGGTAAAGAGCACTGGCCCAGGGGACTTTGGTAATAGCCAGCCTTTGTGGTTGGCAAGAGCCATGAGATGAAAACACTTCCAAAGTTTTTAGGTACTTCTGGCATCATCATCATTATGGTTAATCTGTTTCTGGCAGAAACTGACAATATATTTGGGAATAAACAGGCATAGGTCCTTCTTAGATTCTCTTTAGCACTCTCTGAATCAGTTGAGAAGACCAGTACCTAAATATTATGGAAAAAGTAAATCTCCTTGACAACTGTGATATAAACAGCAAGAGAAAGGAACACCATTCTCTTAAAGCCTCCTTCTTTGTATTGTGTGTATTATGTTATAGACTGCAAAGTGCTGCATACTTAATGGCCACGGTTGATTGACAAATATGAGAATGAACAAAGGAATGAATTTTAATCACTTTGGAATGATTAGCTCTTGGTATCAGTTTTATTATGACAAATAACTTTTGTTCTTTTTTTTTTTTTTTTTTTACCATGTATTTTTAGGATCTTCCTAGATACTATGACAACTGCCCGTTTTTCTTTTGGTTCAATACATCTTTTATAAAAAATTACAGGTATGGCTATGATACAATCCAACAGAAATAGCTTTAATCTTCAGTGTATGGATGTAAGACAAGTCTCTTACAGATTGTCATAAACTCAATTTATAGAAACCAAAAAATCCTCGAATCACCATTCTTTGTTGCCATACCATCTTATCTGGTTATTTTTACATAAAGCTATACTGGAGACCCACTTTAATATTATCCTCAAGGTCCATGCCATGTGGCTGTGTTTTAAGTTAAGATGTATTATAATCAGGTCTCAAGTGCAGTAATAAATGCTGCCCCAGAAGTTTAAGGTGAGTCGGCTCAGTGCCTCGCACCCTGCAGGCCCTGAGCGAGCGGATGGAGGGGCCCACCTATGAAACCGAAGGGGCTGAGATGCTCAGCAGGGCAGGCAAATGTTTTTAAAATTCTAACAAGGGTGCCTTTACTGCATGGCTGTTCTTATAGCCCTAAAATAATTTTTTTTCTATTCTTAGGCTTTATCTTCCAAGAAATGAATTGGATAATCCCCATAAGTCAAAAACATGGAAAATTTACCAACCAGAGTTTGCAGTAGAAATATATTTTGAATGAGACATACCCTACAGTTATATTGTAGCTGGTACCTCATTTTAACTATAGATAGCATTTTAGCATACAATCATGTTCTTCCCTTCTCTGCGAATGTTTATATCCTTTAAGTAAATATGTAGAATTCTATTAAATGTATACATTTGCCAATCTTTTTTTTTTCTTTTTTTGAAAGAATATACTTTGAAGTTTTCTTGCTATTCAGATAAAATTGGAACATGGGAATATTAAGTTTATCATTTTGAAGAACTTTGAAATAGAACGTTCATATTAAAATAATTCTGATTTTTAAAAATTGTGATTCCCCCCCCAATACTGGGGATTTATTTATGCATGTTTGGACAAGTATTTATTACGAACTTTTCTTTTTTACATTTGTAATTTCAGATTAAAAATGTAATTTCTATTTCCTTCCTCCACTTGATTTATAAACTATTAACAAACATCGAACTGGCAATAAAGAGAAATGTTTCACACAAACACCACCCCCCCAACACACACACTTTTCATGGCACTCCAGGCACCACGTGGGTTGCTTACATAACAGTCTTCCTTTAATTACACATGCACACACATGCATCCCCATGGAGAGTGAAAGATCTCGGTAAGCATGAAGGAAAAAGAATCTTCAGTAACTTCTGCTTTTACGTACCATCCTAAGTGAAGTTAAACGAAGTATTTGCTCTTAGAGTAATCTAGATTTATTATTGTAAAACCTACTGCCCTTACCCCAGTAAAAGGAACTATGCACAGCCATATTTACCTAGGCTTGAGGAACTGTCAAGGGAGGCTACCTTGTCATTATAATCACTGCTTAGTCCTGTGACCACTGTTGCTGCTGTGGAGTTGATTCCAGCTCATGGCAACTCCATGTGTGTCATTGTAGAACTGTGCTCCATAGGGTTTTCAATGGCTGTGATCTTTCCAAAACAGATCACCAGGACTTTCCTCCGAGGCACCTCTGAGTGGACTCGAATCTCCAACCTTTCAGATAGCAGCTGAGCATGTTCATCGTTTACACCACACCGGGCCTCCTTGTGTCCTTAGGGAATCATTAGTTTCCTTTTGGTACTAGGTGCCGCTTTATTCTAAATACCTTCACTGCCACTGTATTTTAAGGCCAAAATAGTCCTTGGAAACAGTTTTATTGAAATTATCCTTGCTGGAATGATTTTCTTTTTATTGGTAAGGATCTCAACTATCTAGACTAAGTTAAATTCATCAGAAAACAAAAAGTATAGCAACCAATAAGAACCGGTGTCTGCTAAAAACATGACATACTCATTCCTGAAAAAACCCTGCTGCAGCATTGTTCACAGTAGTCAGCAGGTGAAACAACCCAAGTGTCTATCAACAGATGAATAAACAAAACGTGGTCACTATGTACAATGGAATACTGTCTGACTCAGCTTAAAAGAGAAATGAAGTCGATACATGCCACCTCATGGATCAACCTTGAGAACATGACGCTAAGTGAAATAAGCCAGACACAGAAGGGCACGTACCGTATGACTCACCTTATCTGAAGTATCTGTAACAGGCAAACCCATCTGGACAAAACATGATTAGTGGCTACCAGGGGCTGGTGGGGTGGGTTTAAAAAAGTTTAGTTGATAGCATGTAGACAGTTTTATGGACTGAAAGCATCCCTCTCCTCTAACTATAATTAGAGTGGAGACAGCAAATTAAAAACAAAAAAAGCAAAAACCAACTTGGCACTCTGCAAAAAGCACACACTAAGTTTGCAGGAGGGAAAAACAGGGTTTGGGGCAGACACTCCAACTAATCAACTTTGTAACCAGTGCATTTACAAAAACAATTTAGACCACCCAGGTTGGCGGCCTAGAATGTCTGGAGATTACCACCAAACCCAAAACCAAACCCGCTGCCAAACCCTAACCCTAACCCTAACTCATAGCCACCCAACAGGACAAAGCAGAACTGCCCCACAGGGTTTCCAAGGAGAGGCTGGTGGATCTGAACGGCCGACCTTTTGGTTAGCAGCCGAGCTCTTAACCATTGCGCCACCAGGGCTCCTCCAAGATCACCACGGTGGGTATTAAATAAGAAAACAGTGGAAGTACAGCAATACTTTAATTATACCAGACAGCGCAACCGGCCCCGAGCCGAGTCCCACAAGAGGCATGAGTGGCATAGGTGCAGGTGGTCTTTTTTTTTTTTGATGGCCCAAAAAAGATTCCAGCTGTCAGTGCAGCAGTTCAGCTAAAAACTTTCTCCTTTTCTGACGAAAGTGATATTCTACTCTTCTATTCTGGCTTCCCTCAGAGAGAAAGATCACATAGAACATACTCTGAAGTTACTTCCATGCTATTACCAGCATTCTTCGGTAATCTGTGTTACAGAAGCATGTGTTGTAGCAGAACAGGTTGTGCTGCTTCACTTAAAATTCATGCAGCAATCATCCATAGTGAGCAGACGGTGGCAGGTTTAGGTGAAGGGGAAAATAGTTGGCTGGATCAGTAAGGGGTGAAGTTCTCTTTTTCAACACTAACAATAAGAAGGGAAAGAAAACTCAATTTTTATTTTAAGAATCTTGCTTTTCAAAAGAGTTTACAATTGGGGTTTCTCCTCCCTAACCCTTCAAGATGCATCAAAATTTTTGGCATGCCACACTACTCTGCTTTTTTGCTCACATAAAGAAAACTTTTAAGGGCCTCTTGGGGTGTTGCCTTCTTTAAATCCAACGTGAACATTTCTTAGAACTCGAAAAACTTACATTATAATATATCAGAACGATACTGGTTTTCTTAAACAGAATTTGCTAACTTGGGACTGAATTATCCAGAACTTTACAGCAAACAGTTTATTTTATAACAAATAGAATGGCTTCCTGCCAAATCAGCTGCATCCCATCCACAACCTGGTCAAGTGGGCCAAGTTCACAGCTGCAGTATATATAAAGAACATGTGTTTCTGTCAGTTTATCTACATTGGAATTATTTTATATCAGGACTGTTTGTTGACAGAAAACATTGCTTGATGGCAATAAAACCACAACCTGGAAATATTATTTTACATAAAACTCTTAAACATGTCTGAAAGTTTGTTCTTAGCATGGATGTAAAAGCACATAAAAACTCATAATGTAATCAAATATCAAGTAAATAATGATCCAAACAATTTGTGATCGAGCTGATTCCAACCCATAGCGACCCCACAAGACAGAGCAGAACCACCCCATAGGGTTTCCAAGGCTGTAATCTTTACAGAAGCAGATTGCCACATCTTTCCCCTGCAGAGAGGCTGGTGGGTTCGAACTGCTGACCTTTCAGTTAGCAGCCAAGTGCTTTAACCACTGCACCACCAGGCCATAGCGACCCTACAGGACAGAACAGAACTGCCCCATAGAGTTTCCAAGAAGCTGGTGGATTCGAACTGGTGACCTTTTAGTCAGCAGGTGTAGCTCTTAACCACTGCACCACCAGGGCTCCTAAATAAAAAAAAAACCCAAACTCACTGCTGTTGAGTTGATTCAGACTCATAACAACCCTATAGGACAGTGCAGAACTGCCCTATGGGGTTTCCAAGGAGCAGCTGGCAGATTCAAACTGCCATCCTTTCTGTTTGCAGCCCAGCTCTTAACCACTGCACCACCAGGGCTCCTAAATAATGACAGAACACCCAAATTACCCTAAACTCAACATTCTGTGTTACTATATATTTTGTCTGGAGTACAGATCTGAAATGGTACAAACTGTACCCAAATACTGAATATGAATTAAGTAAACAGAATGAAAACAAGTTCTCCCAACTTGGGTTCCCATTCCTCATTCTCACTCTAACTTGCTTCAAATCACTTCTATTTATTTAGTTAAATCTTTAACGGACAACATGTGTAAACAAGGTCTGCTGACAACAGGGCTAACAGGCCCCGGGAGGTGAACTGTGGACTGTGAAGTTCCACTTCCTGCTGGAAGCCAGTCCGTTTCCTATTCTGCTTTAAATCTAAGCCTGTGAGGATGAAGCACCATGTAATAGCCACTGACCACCTGAACATGGAGAAAAAAGTAAAGTAGAAAATGGTTTTCTTTGAAAGAAAAGGCAGGTGGAAGCCCAGCCTGCAGATGTCACGCACACCAGGCACCATGCCGAGCAAGCGTCCTCGCCCGATTTCCACAGCAGCCCTGTCAGTCAGCACCCTGTCTCCCTAGCCTTCTTGCTTCGGGCACCATGGCTGTAGTTAGCACAGAGGCCTCACAGGGAGCAGAAGCTGAAGGAAACAGGAGGTGTGACACACAGACACGGATCATTAGAAATAAGGGTTACTGCCGGCTTGCTGGCAGCTTAAGAACACTCTGTACTGAGAGAGCCTGCTGGTCATGGGGCAGTATGGCTTTAGTGTTGCCAAGAATGACCCTCTTACACCATGTGGCCGAAGAACAGACCCCAGGGATCAGAAGAGCTGTTGTCTTTTGTGCTAGTGCATGTATATACAGACGTGCAGTATACTTGAGTAAAATTACTTTTCTTATTATATCAATACTTTAAGTCACACCCCCTATATAATCATCATTAAAATTCTGACTACCAGTACAAATTTTAGAAGGCTCCAGCACTGTGAAAGCACGCCAAGGAGTTATGGGCCGCACAGTAAACTTCAGGATGGGTCAACCCTGCCATTACTCACTGCAGAGTGCAAGCACTAAGCTATCTAGTTCTGCTAGAGAGGAGAGGACTTCACCATGGGCAGTGTCACTCCATCACCAACCAGGGACGAGGTTCTGGCTCTGGCACGCTGTCCCGGGAAGGCTTCTGACTGGTAGAGGTAGAGAGGACGGTGAGTGGGCCAAAGTGGATCAACAGCCCCTAGATGGGCCAGCAGAACACCCTGGAATCCTACCCAGGCCAGGACCCAGGGACCAGAAGCTAAGAGCTGCTGTCAGCCATGTGGGTCTCCATGAGCATGGCAGCACAGCCCCATCTCCTTGGCCCTTTTCCCAATCTGACGCCCAGCAGAGGCAAGCCCTCTTGGAGAGGGCCAAGGGGAAGCTGGGGCGGGTGAAGGCTCTAGGCCACACCCAGCAATATAGTCCGAGTGAGGAGTATGATCCCACTTAGAAGACAAATGGCACTATGTCAGTGAGCGCAGAGCATCTTGAAAATCCAGGATGCCTACCCTGAAAGTCAACGTGGAAGCCACACCAGAATGCAGGAATATTCTCTTAAAAATCCAGACAGGTATTTTGGTTTTCAAGCACCACACAAAAACTTTAAAGCTTTAGCATGTATAGTGCACATGTTAAGTGGACTTTAAAGCGACCTTACGTCTTAAATGGGTTAAGCAATCATTTACAGACATCTTTATAAACATGCTCAGCTCTGGGCTTTTCTGGCAATATCTGAGATGAAACATGGAACCAAATTGTGTTTCACAGCACATAACCATCCAAACCCCAAGTGCATACATGGGTTCAGGCAAAATCCCTGACAGACCTACGTTTAGCCTTTCAGAGGTACGTACACAGGGCCACTGGCTCACTCTGTATATTTCACCAAGGGGAAGAACAGCCATTTCTCTATTTCAGTACAATTATGGGCAGAATTTATATGATGTAAACTAGAAGTCCTCCCATAAAGTTTAAGATTTAAGGCAGAAGAAGGGAAGACAAAAACAAAATTCTCATGAAGTCGAAATAATTGCACGTAGGTCTTAAACTCCATGAAACCCCGAAATGAACTGTGGTCCTCAAACGAGTATGCTCAAGGCCCAGGTTCACAAGGCACCTCACTGAGCTTCAAACTGGCTCATCATCAACTTCCTGCTGTATTCGTAGGCCAAAAACAGTGCCCCATTGGCAGGGACTGCACGAATCAGAGTCGGTTTCAGTCCAGAATACAAAGCAGTTATTCCTACAAGACAAAAGGGTGATGAAGACTGAGACAGTCCTCTCCTTGGACATTCCCACGCAGCTGCAAAGCACAGGTATTTTCATACTCACTCTACAGCGGCACCCAAACCCAAAAAGCAATGGATTTATTTTCAGGTTTCCCTAAATACACTAATGGAAACAAGGACACTTGGCAGGTCTCCCAGCCAAGCTGATCCATGCTCATGTAACATACACCAGTTCCATGCCTGGTTAACTTCCATTAAAAGAAATGGGCAGAGCCGATGCCTTATGAGGTGAATGGGAGGCAACCACGGAGCCACTGGCAGCAGCAGCTTTGCAGCTTTGCCTGGAGTGCAAGGACCACCAGGCGTGGCAGTGGTGGAAAAAGCACTGCCCTAGAGGTCAGAGACCTTTTAGTACTAGCACTGGACTGAAATTACCCACTGCCAGCAAGGCGATGCAAACTCACAGCGACCCTGCGGGACAGAGAACTCCCCATACGGTTTCCATGGCTGCGATCTTTACAGAAGCAGACTGCCACATCTTTCTCCTGCACAGCGGCTGGTGGGTTTGAACCACGAACCTTTTGGTTAGCAGTCAAGCACTTACGCACTGTACCACCAGGGCTCCTGGACTGACATTAAATGAGAGGAAAATACGTTCCCAGGGTTGTTATGAAATTTAGACAATGCAGGTGTAAGTACTTTAAAAATATAAAGTGTTATGCAAATTTAAAGTGGGCTTTCTACTAATATATACCAGATGTCTGTGGTCTAGTTGGGACACAAGTTAAACAGTTTCTGCATACTACTGTACTATCATTGTGCTCCCAAGTTATAAGATGCATAGTAGATGCTGGAAGGACAGGTCTTTACTCGCTGGTTTCATAAAGCTGGCTTTATATAAATCTTACTTAGAAAATCCTTATCGTCCTGTATAACTCTAGAAACTGACAGTAAATTGCCTTCAGAAACTTCTTAGTCCATTTCTGATCCCAGAAGTCCTAGCATTAACGATGTTATACATCCTTTTAAATCCCTAGTGGTACAGTTAGAGATCATCTGATGTAAAATAGGCAGTGCTGACCTCAAAGTATCTGTCCCCTTAGGCAAAGCCATATTTTTAAAAATTTCCTCCAGGTGATTTAGAACAAAGAATCCTGACTGATGCCAGGCCTTGGGTTAGGAACAGGGACTTTAAGGATTCTTCTTGAAAGCAAGCAGAAGGAAGGGGTCTGGAAAGACAAATCCACAAACGTGGGTTCATCCACACTGCTAGAAACAGCGTGTGAGGTGGGGAAAGAGCGCAGTCACACGAGATCACACCTCGAGGGGATCAGCAGCGGGAGGCCACGCACTCCAGACATACCTACTCTGTTCCTGCAATCAGCAGACTTACCTTCATTTTTCAAAACACCTACAAAGGTTCTGATAAATCCTGCCTGTTTTCCAGACATGGACAGAACCTGAATTCTGGATTTGATACAATCCACTGGGTATACTGCCAGCCAGAGGCAAATTCCACCAACTCCGCCACTTAACATCAAAGGGACAGGGCCTGGAGAAGAAAAAACGCAGGTGGTATTTTGTCTCTAAAACAGGCGACATGCCAAGGTCAATGGGGTAATGGCTGCAGCATGAGTGCTGGGAGTATAGTTCTTTGAGGAACCTGTCACAAGCTCTGGTTACTGGGCACCAAGAACACAGGTTCAGATTGGCTGTCTACATCCCCTTCTGGACAAGAAGACCTGGTGAGGACTCTTTCAGGCTGCTCACCTAGGTGCGGGCCCACTGCCTCGTCCTCCAGAGGGTGGGCCCACAGGGGCCAGCAGGCCCACAGCAGGTGGCAATGCCTGATCACAGGGAACGGGAAGGGAGGTCAAAGACCACGGCCACCTCTTTTTTCAACTTGTTACTCTAAGTATTTTAATATCTTAACACCCTATAGCCCCAATTCTTCCTCTGAAAAATCAAGATTCTCTTAGTAAACCCAACAGTTAAGTCTGAATAGATCCAAAACACTGAGTTTTTTTTTTTTTTTAAATAACTCACTTGAGTCAAACATTGCATACAGTTGTGCCAATGGATAAACAGAACCAGCTACAAAGAACTACACTTTTCACTGCTCTCAAAACACTATTAAGATTTATTGCCAAGTTTTAAACTCATTGCAAGATTATGTGTAGGGATTTCCCTGCGGGGAAACTAAATTTCTGTATTTCTTCTTCCCCTAAACTGGATCCAGAACAAATTAACAAACGTTAACTCCAGTAAAAAATTTGGGAGGTGCTGCTTCAGCCCCTGGTCCTGAGGAGTTAGGAAGCCTGTGGAAGGATGATAGCCATCTCCTACCACCACATTACTCTCCTCTGTCCAGAAACTCTAGTTCCAGACGGACCTCCCCCCACCAGAGGGCGCACAGGGCAGACGATCAGCAGTGGCCACACCACTGGGGAGGGAGAACACTATCCAATTGCTCTCACACCAACACATTTACCTAGTTCATCTTTTGATCTCCCTGATGCAAAAAACGATCGGCTCAGTTCATAGCCACCGAAGAAGAAGAAATAGCCCGGTACTTCTCGAAGTAAAGTGCTTGACAGTCCATGGTAGAAGCCCAAGGGGCCATCTTTCCTAAGGATACTCTTCACAACAGACCAAACTGTACTGGGAGGAGAGAGTGAGAGGCACAGTTACGGTGGGTGGAAAAGGAGGGAGGCCAGCAGCATACACACCCAGTGAACAAGCTGATTGGGCACAGTAACGAAGCCCCTGATGTAGACGCAGAGGAGCAAGGCATTCTGAGATAAAAGCCAGACTTCTGTGGGAAGGAAAAATTTTAGAGAAGGATAGATACTTATAACAAGTTTTGTCACCTAAATTACTCATGGTAAACACATTTTATTAAAATGGATGCATACATTTCTAGATTCACATTATCAGAAATGTAGAAGAGCTGGGTGCCCATTTTTCTGTAGCAAAATTCACTGTAGTGAATTAGCAGTGGTTAAGAGCTCGGCTGCTAACCAAAAGGTCGGCAGTTTGAATCCACCAACTGCTCCTTGGAAACCCTATAAGGGCAGTTCTACTCTGTCTTCTAGGGTTGTTATGAGTAGGAATTGACTCAACGGCAATGGGTTTGGTTTTGGTCAGAGTTACATGAGGAGCTGCTCAAACTCAGCAAGAATAAAATGGTATTGTATGTGCCCAGTCCCTTACCTCCCCCAATTCCTATTTCCTCTTTTTCTTTTCATGTGGTGTGTTTTGAGGGAATTTGTTCAGTGTTTAGGGTTTGTTTTGTTTTAGTGTAGAGAAATGAGCAAAGGACTAAATGTTACCTGAAGGCAAGACAAAAGAAATCCTAAGACGTGGGCCACAGCTGCCAGTGATTCGATGGCAACGCAGGATACTTGATTTTAAGCAGAACAAAACCCTGCTACTGGAGCCACCGGAACAAAGAACCGCTTTTCACCTACAGAGTCCTCCTCCTGTAGCAGGTTTTATCCCTATTAAGGCAGGACCAGACACCTGTACTCAGTGCACCTTAGTAAACGCCTCACTATTCACTTTGTTCTCAGAGAACAGGCACTTGGCTTGAAGCAATGAACAATCAAGCCCCAAGGTAATAAAAGCTACGTGCTTTTAATGATTATCTTCCTTCTGAGGACTCCAGAAGGCTACCTCAAGCATTACTTCCTGCAGTGCCATTGGTTTTCTATACATGGAAGGGAACAAATTAATTCAACTCAACACAACCACCTGCCTTCTGGTAAGTCTTCACCTCAAGGCTGCCATATACCCCATGCTGAAAATACAAAGTCAGACTTCCTATTTTATACTTTCTTGCAAGGTGTCTGTATACCTAAATCCTTTTGAGTTAAAAATTTACTTTCTTTAAAAATATCTTAACACAACGCTAGCATTAATCCAAAAAACACAAAATAATAAATGAGGGAGAGGTTGTGGAGAGGGTGGAACACTTATACTCTGCTGGTGGGAATGTAAAATGGTACACCCACTTTGGAAAGAGATTCGGTGCTTCCTTAAAAAGCTAGAAATAGAAGTACCATACGATCCAGCAATCCCACTCCTTGGAATACATCCTAGAGAAATAAGAGCCATCACACAAACAGATATATGCACACCCATGTTCACTGCAGCACTGTTCACAACAGCAAAAAGATGGAAACAACCTAGGTGCCCATCAATGGATGAATGGATAAACAATTATGATACATTCACACAACGGAATACTACGCAACGATAAAGAACAACGATGAATCCATGAAACATCTCACAACATGGATGAATCTGGAAGGCATTATGCTGAGTGAAATTAGTCAGTCACAAAAGGACAACTATTACATAAGACCACTATTATGAGAACTCAAGAAAAGGTTTAAACACAGAAGAAAACATTCTTTGATGGTTACAAGGGTGTAGAGGGAGGAAGAGGGGTACTCACTAACTAGTAGACAAGAATTATCTTAGGTGAAGGGAAAGACAACACACAATTCAGGGGAAGTCAGCATAACTGGACTAAACCAAAGGCTAAGAAGTTTCCTGAATACAACCAAACACTCTGAGGGACAGAGTAGCAGGGGCGGAGGTCTGGGGACCATGGTTTCAGGGGACATCTAGGTCAATTGGCATAACAAAGTTTATTAAGAAAATGTTCTGCATCCCACTTTGGTGAGTGGCATCTGGGGTCTTAAAAGCTAGCAAGCTGCCATCTAAGATGCATCAATTGGTGCCAACCACCTGGAGTAAAGGAAAATGAAGAACACCAAAGACACAAGGAAAATATTAGCCCAAGAAACAAAAGGGCCACATAAACCAAAGACTCCATCGGCCTGAGACCAGAAGAACTAGATGGTGCCGGTTATCACCAATGACCGCCATGACAGGGAACACAACACAGAGTCCCCGACGGAGCAGGAGAAAAGTGGGGTGCAGAACTCAAATTCTAGTAAAAAGACCAGACTTAATGGTCTGAGACTGGAGGAACCCCAGAAGACACGGCCCCCAGACTATCTGTTAACCCAGAACTAAAACCATTCCCGAAGCTAACTCTTCAGACAAAGATTAGACTGGACTATAAGACATAAAATGATACTCATGACAAGTGTGCTCCTTAGCTCAAGTAGCTACATAAGACTAAATGGGCAGCTCCTATCCAGAGGCGAGATGAGAAGGCAGAAAAGGACAGCAGCAGGTTGAATGGACACGGGAAATCTGGGGTGGAAAGGAGGAGTGTGCTGACATATTATAGGGATAGCAACTAGGGTCACATAACAATGTGTGTATAAATTTTTGTATGAGAAACTAACTTGAGCTGTAAACTTTCACTCAAAACACATAAATAGAATAAAAAAATCAAACTGAAACAACCTATATGTCCATCAACAGATGAATGCATAAACGAAACATGGTCCATACATAAAATATTACTCAGCTGTAAAAATAAATGAAGTCTTGATACAAACTACAATACAGATATAAACCTTGAAAACATTATGCTGAGTGAAATAAATCAGCCACAAAGGGACAAACAGTGCATGATCCCACTTATATGAAAGATCTAGAACAGGCAAATGCATAGAAACCAAACTTCATCAGTGGATACTGGGGGTGGGGATGAGGGGTAAGGGGGACTCACTGTTTAGGGGACACTGTGCTTCTAACAAGCATGAGGGGAAAATGTGGAAATGGACAACAGTCATGACTGCACAACATGATGAACATAATTCATGTCACCAAATTGTACAAGTGAAGAACACTGAATTGGCAAATGATTTGTTACATATTTACCACAATTAAAAAAAAATACCTTAAACTACTTGGAAAGGACATGAGGGGACTTTCTGGGTGCTACTAACGTTCTATTTCTTAATCTGGCCAGTGGTTACAAAGGCATGTTCATTTTGTAAATATTTATAAACGTGCACACTTACGACTTGTTATGAATTCACGTTACTGCATGCTGTATTTCAATAAAAAGTTTAAAAGTTACACGTTTAGACTTCTAGGTATGAACGACAGACCAAGTTCATTGCAAGGAAATCTCAAGGGTGCAGAAAATAAGTTGCTATGACAAATCTCACTCTGAGAGGAGACTAAGAGCTGGAAATCCTCAGTTTATCTACTGTTGTTTCCCAGGGGATGCCCAGGCTTTGAGTTAGCCACAGCAAAAGCCAAGACCAAAACTCCTGTCAGCCAGATATCAGGATAACACAAGCACATTCAGGGATTAATGAACTGCTTTTCAATGATCAAATAAGTCGCGTTGTGTATGACATATACACCCTCACAGGGTAGCTAGAATCTGTTTTCAAGACTGAGTAGGTGACATGACGATGAAGAGTGCCTCTCCTTCACGAGCGTTTTGGTGAATGTTTTCAGAACTTGAGTTCTTCGCAGAGGCTGCAGGGAGGGGAGGTAAAGGAAGATGTCCCTCTGATCTGGAGTGGTCAGCGTGAACACTCATGCATGACCTTGGAATAGGCATCAATAATTTATCTCAGAATCCAAATGGGCACGTGCTGCAGGCTCAGCTCTGAGACACATGCAAACCCAGCACTGCTACCACTGGGGCAAAGTTCAAAGCTGCCCACTATGTGCCCCAGAGACAGTTGGGGGTCATGCCTTATGCACCCAAGAGGCCAGAGAGGCAAAAGCTCCTGGCTTCTCCATTGCTGGGGGAGGGTCTGCCTAAGACATTCTATGGGATGGTGGGTCTAGCCACCACAGACAGTCCTTTCCAAAAATTATCTTTTAACTAGTCAGGGAAAGCATTCTAGAAACATGATCAAGAACATTTTGGAATAGATGAATGTGTCCATATCTGCCTCCTGATTTTAGTACAATACAAAAAAACGATAATAATAATAATAATCTGTACACCAAGGCGACAGAGACATGACTGCTTGTGCCTCAGTGGTGCTTACTTCTGGCTCGCTGCTATCTTTCCTGACGCCTCCATTTCGTACATGGTCTGCAGCCGGCACTTGACGAGCTCCGTGGGGCAGAGTACCAGTGCAGCAAACGCTGAGGCGAAGGACCCGGCCGCAGCATTCTGGAGGTCACTGAAAGGACACAAACACAGGAAACAGTGGCCGTCAGCTCACTCGTTCCTCCAGCACTCGCCACACGGGAGACACCAGGGGAGGTAAGTACAGCAACAGTGAAGGAGGGAACGCTTCCCAGTGCCCGCTGGGAACGTCACATGCTGCTCTATCCAATGCCCACAACCTGTGAAGGTGACAGCAATACCTCCATTTCCAGATGAGGAAAATAGTGCTGAGAGGTGATACATATGTGCCCAAAGCCACACAGCGAGTAAGTGGGGCACAGGGTTCAAGCGCAGATGGCTCAGGCTGACTGCCAAACTCATGCTCTTTATTAGACAAGTGATCCAAACAAGCAGAACAGCATGAAGGAGGGGGAGCTTACCCACAGTCCCACCACCCAAAGCACGCACCATTAATAATCTGGTGTAAATTAAACTAGCATCTGTGGCCATCCTGACAGGTGACGTGTAAGGTAACTGCCTGTGATGGTTAAGACTGTGTGTCAACTTGGCTGGGCCAGGATTCTCAGTGTTTTGGCAGTTGTATAATGCCATGATCACTTCCCTGTTGAAATCTGATACGTGATCACCCCCATGATGGAATCTGCTGAGTGGCACTGGTTGGCGCAGGGCCTGTGGCAGCTCACTGCACCCTCAGCCTTCATCTTTCCACCCATCTCGGCCTACTTCCTGCTCGCCTTGCCAGGGCTTTTGCTTGTTTCTGATCCTGCAGCTTGCTCCCCTTCATCTGGCCTCTGGTTCTTGGGATTTGGGCTGGCGGCTTGCCGGTGGTCTTGCCTGCTGATCTTGAGATTCATCATCTTCATCGCCTGCAGCAGCACTGCTCTCCGGCCTGCCGATCTTGGGTTCCCAGCCCCTGCGGCTACGTGGATCAGGAGAATTCTCTTTCCTGCCTCACAGACTTGGGACGTACAGCCTCTAGGGGCCATGTGAGTCACTGCCTTGATATAAACCTCTTTATGTATACATACATATATATACACATATGTGAATGTATATATGTAAAGAGAGATTTATATTAAGGAAATGGCTCACACAGATACACACAGCTTTAGAGAATGCAGACATTTTGTCCAATGCTATTGAGTCCATCCCTTCCTCTTCCCTTCACTCTGACTGAGTTCCAGATGGCTCCTGCTGTATTGCAGGCAGCGTGCAAGTCCATACGTGGTCTCCTTCAGGGACTGTCAGTCTGCTGACAGGCAACAGTCAGCTAGGGTCATCAGCCAGAGCAGAGGTCAGTCAATAAACACAGGGGCCTCTTAACCCCAAGCCGTGGTGAGGACAGCTCAGACATTTCGACCAACGCCCAGCATGCTACACAGGGCAATGACCAGGCCAGATCAGATTGGCTGGGGACTTTGGCTTCCTAATGAGGACTTTCACCTCCCAGCACTCACCTCGAGCCTGGGCCCCAGGCTCTGCCAGGAGGAAGAACTCAGAACTGGAATGGAAATGGCACAGGCTTAAGAGTGGGTTCTGTCAGAATCAGCTGTTTGTCTCCCATTCAACAAAATGTACCTGAACACTCCTGCTGTATGGACCCTGAGCAGCCCAAGGCCAAGCCCTGGGACAGACAACCAGGGACAGACATTTACTGTGTAATTAGATCTCCACCAGGTTCCCACAGGCAGTGCTTCCCCCTCATTGCTGCTGCTCAGACTCACCTCTAGATCACAGTGAAGGCTGAAAAGCAGCTAACACACATCAGAGCTCTGTGAACACTAAGACAATACTTCCCCAACCAGTAACGAGCAACTGCTGTTCTGCAGGATGAAAGAGAAAAGGCTCCATGCTCAAAAAAGATCAGACAAAGTTAAGCAGGGTGCTTTCTTTAACAAACTGAATAACACATACCCTACTAAAATACATACAGTGTACACAGCATGATTCTCTGCTCTACACTGTATGGCTAGCCCTTGTTCGGGGACACCGACTCAGTGCTCTGAAGACAGCACAGAGAAACGCAGCTGCAGGGACTGTGCTTTTCTCCACAGCAAAGCACTGCGCTCCTGCTTTTCCTCCCTGTTTACGGCCTAAGGGACAAAGGCTGGGAAGCAGGCGGAACCAGATCCTTGATGGTTCTGCTCACACAAGAAGGCAGAAAGCACTGCCTTTCCCACAAGGAGGCAGGAAGCACCGCCTTTCCCACAGGGAGGCAGAAGCACTGTCTTTGCTGTGTGGCCAGCCAGGTGACTACTGTACCCAGAGAGGAGGAAGAGGCCTTCCTCCAGAATCTTACATGCTCGTTCACTATCTCCCCATTCCACCCTTCTCTAGGGATGCTTAAGGCAAACCACACTCTAGGTCTCCTCAAGAGTGTGGGGTTCGGTCTCCACTGTGAGATGCCACACTCGCCAGGTGGCTCCCCTGCTTATTCTTCCTAACTTCTATATCTCTGGATGGTGCAAAGAGTTAACACACTCACTGCTAACCAAAAGGTTGGAGGCTTGAGTCCACCCAGAGATGCCCTGGAATAAAGGCCTGGCAATCTACTTCCAAAAAATCAGTCATTGAAAACCCTATCAAGGTCTTCCTGGAGGCGGGGCCAAGATCGCAGAATAGGCAGATGCTTCCTGTTGGTCCCTCTTATGACAAACACTCAAACAAACAAGTGAACTGATTATACATGACAATCTAGGAGACCTGAACAGCAAAGACAAAATTGAGGAATCAGACTGAGTGGCAGGGGGAGAGAGAGAGATACTTCAGAAGCAGTGAAGAAGTGACAGATCTGACCTAGCTGGCACCCTGCAGGCTGGAATGTTTGGCGCACACACGCTGAGCCTAGCAGTAGCACTGGGGTGTTTCTACCACATTGGGAGAAACCTAGCGGTGGAGAGTCTGCATAAGCCTCTGGAGCCAGAGGGAAGCAGCACTGGATCTGCGAGCTGGATCTGCAGAAGTTAAGTGCAAGCATCTAACCTACCAGGCAGGATGAAAATTACCCTTCCCCCTCTGGGAAGTGCCTCTCTTCCCCTCAACTGCCCACCCCAACCCCCAGCTCCAGTGCTGGTCCAGCAGTGTTCAGTGGTTGCTGTGCTCCCTGGGCCAGAAGTGGGATCTTTCACACTGAGCCAGTCTCCTGGCTTTGGGAAAGGAACAAATAAACAAATGAACAAACAAAAAACGAAACCACCAGCTTCCCTAAGCTGGGCCGTCAGGGTTAACCACACTCAAAACGAGTCTCACAAAGGGGTCCATGAACTTCGAATGCCTTTCACCCCTGCCTAGACCTGTGTAGGCAGATTCAACAGCTAAGGCCCTCATTAGCATAGTATAGCAGGTTATACACCTGAAGCTATTCCCAATTGCGACAGCTAAAGGGGAATGGCAGATTAGTGGCATTTGACACCGCCCTGCCCGTAAAGCAGCGTCCTCACCCACCCACATCAGGGGCCTGAGGATTGGCGGCATCGCCCACTACAACTAGCCACCCATGACAGGGGTCTGAGAATAAGTGGTGTCTCCCAATCCTTACAGCCAACAGCACTGGGTGCTCAAGGTCCGGCTGCAAAACCCACCTCCCTATGCACTCTAGGGAACAGTGACACGCCTTCCAGCCAGGCACTCAGGGGCAGCTGTAAGCCCCCTACCTTGCTCAGCACATAACCCCCTATTGCAGCCAGATACCCATGCTTGATCCAATCAACCCTATGTAGCCCTGCCACTCTAAGACTGTACGTGAGAGCCTGCACCACATGCTTGGTGACCGACGACCTGGACACCTGAGCTGAATCCACATAAGAAAAGTAAACAGACTCCCGGGCTCACATACATAGTAGCAACTCTAACCACCTGGTGACAGGACGTGAGAACTTCAAAGACACCAATAATCAAAGTAGCTCACATGATGAACCTATTTAGGCATATCAAAACAAAACAAATCAAGAAGCTAGGATTCAGTAAGCAAACGTACAATAAATAAACATAGTAACTTATTGATGGCTGGAAGACAAAAGTCAATATCAAATCTCAAAGAGGCAGACCATGATGGGTCCAGCAAGCCACCAAAACAAAGAACCAGGAAACCTCCTGGAGGAAGAGAAGGTCTTGGAATTACTGGAGGCAGAATTCCAAATATAGAGAGCTCTTCAAGAGATCAAAAAGGAGATCAAGAAAAACGCAAGCCAAGGAACACACAGACAAAGCAACAGAGGAATTTAGGAAGGCTATGGAAGAGCAAAATGACAAATTTAACAGGCTATTAGAATCCACAGAGAGACAGCAATCAGAAATCCAAAAGATTAACAATAAAATTTCAGAATTAGACAACTCAACAGAAAGTCATAGGAGCAAAATAGAGGCAATGGAAGCTAGAATTAGTGAGAATGAAGACAAAGCAATTGACACCAATTCATTTGAGGAAAAATCAGATAAAAGAATTTGAAAAAATGAAAAAATCCTAAGAATTATGTGGGACTCTCTCGAGAGGAATAACGTATGAGTGATTGGAGTAGCGGAAGAGAGGGAGATAACAGAAAATACAGAGAGAATTGTTGAAAATTTGCTGGCAGAAAACTTTCCTGATATTGTGAAAGACGAGAAGACATCCAAGAAGCTCACTGAACTCTGCACAGGGTAGATCCCAAAAGAAAGTCACCAAGACATATTATAATCACACTTGACAAAACCAAAGATAGAGAATTTTAACAGTGACTAGGGATAAACGAACAGTCACCTAAAAGGAGAGTCAATAAGACTAAGCTCAGACTACTCAGCAGAAACCATGCAGGCAAGAAGGCAATGGGATGACATATATAAAGCCTTGAAGGAAAAAAATTGCCAGTCAAGAAGTATATATCCAGCAAAACTGTCTCTCAGATATGAAGGTGAAATTAGGGCATTTTCAGATAAACAGAAGTTAAGGGAATTTGTAAAAAAACAAACTAAAATTACAAGGAATACTAAAGAGAGTCCTCCAGTTAAAGAATCAATAATGTCAGATAACAACCCAAGATTAGAACACAGGGCAGAACAACCAAATATCAAACC